GTTCATTAATACATGAACAATATGCAGTACCTTCTCCAGATGCTCTCAATTTCCATCCATTAGCTAATGATACATGCTGTTTACTCTTTGTCGTGTTAACAAACCTCTCTTTACTTTTAGTTATACACTTAGGTGCTCCACTGTCAACTACCCATATATCATAGTTTACAGTTGTAGTTGTACTTGATATGGCTAAACTAACATCTTTATACACTCTCTGTATATTAATAGCATTCTGTTTCTTACCCTTTTTACAGTATCTGGCTATATGGCCTTTAGCCCCACAAGAAAAACATTTCCTAACAATAGAGGCAGTTGAAGACAGTTTTTCTTCCTGTGGCTGTCTTTCTCTCAGTTGATTTTTATCTTGCCTTCTTCTTGACTCTTCTAACAGTCTTCCAGTTATGCCAGTCAATGTAAGTTCATCTCTGTTTAAAACTTCCAGTGAAGACACATAATCATCATAAGTTTCATCCAAAGAAGAAAGAATGATGTAAACTTGATGCAACTCCAAGAAAATCAGCTCCTTTTCTTGTAGCTCTTATAAAGTCCTTTTCATAAACTCCAAATGAGCTAACATATCGACACCTTTATAAGACGGGCCCTAAACAGTTTATGTGTAAGGTGTATGTGTGCACCCACACTATCTCGAACATAAATCCTCTTCAAAATGTCCCAACACCTAGCAGCAGATTCTTCACCACGAATATGGACTAATTGCTGATCACTCAGTGCCAGTCCAATTATACTAAGAGCCTTTTCATTATCCCAGTTAAAGTCAGCTATTTTCTTTTTATCTTCATCATTTAATGGGTCCCAAGCTGTTACATTCGGTGGACTATTAACTACAGTCCATAATCCGTCTTTACACAGAAGTAGGCTGCATTTCATAGACCAGGAAACATAGTTTGTTCCATCCAACCGGGTTATCTGGGATATACTAGTTGACTGTTCTTGTGCCATTGGTAGTTTAACAATAAACCGCAATCAGCTGGCTGAATATGAAACTGTATATTCACAATGATTCTCAATATCTCTCTGGGCCCATAATCAATGTTATGATATGCATAGAATAACCCTTGAGTAACAAGGATCCGCACATGGAAACATTTATGAGAGTAGTTATGAATAATTATTCATAACTACTCTCATAAATGTTTCCATGTGCATATCCTTGTTACTCAAGGGTTATTCTGTACATATCATAACACCTTTGTCTTCTTAGGGTTGAGAAAGAGTGATTGGTTCAAGGTCATCCAGCTAATTTTGTGCCCATGGTGGGATAAGAATTCACATTCTTTGAGTTTCTAACATGGCACTTTAAACAAGCTCTCTTTAATTGTATTCAATTGCCTTACAATAGTTATAATAATGTTTACAAAATATACAATTCAAAATTCAAACAACTAGTAACCAACAACACTAGACTCAACAACTGCTTCGATCTCATTGTCAGTTTAAATTCAATTTATGGACCACAAATAAAAGAACCCTTTTCCAACAATGACCACAGCACGATTGACTTTTATTTCAACGTAAGTCCTCACAAAATCAACATAATGATTTGTTCCCAATTATAACTTTTAAAAGGCCAACTACGATCTCATAGACACTGACCTCTCATCTCTTGATGAAGCAAACTCTATTCACTGGCTGTAAAACTGCTGAAGACCATTACAACATCTTTTTATTCAAAGTCAAAAGAGTCATTAAACTATATGTACCACCAATATCCCCCAAAAATACTTCTTTGGCGAAAACCAAACTGGCTACATAGCTAACTTTAAAAGCCGCTACAAAAACTTATGCTACCAGATAAAGACTGAAGGCACCAATCATCACATCAAACAAGAAGAATACCTTCTGCACACAAAATCCACTTCTATAATTTTGTAAACAATGAACTCAAAGACTCAAGATCCACCCTACCCTAAAAGGACTTAACGGCAAAGACTGTAATGATAAAACCATTAAAGCAAATCTCTTTAACACATTCTTCGGCTCAGTCTTTGTAAACAGCAATGGCTCATGCCAAATATTTCGTAGTCGTACCACAGATAATTACAATGATCTAATATATATAGAGATTTTTATATGATAATGTTGGAAAAGCACTATGCAATCTAAAGCCATCTCTATCTATTGGACCAGATGGACCATGTGCCTACTTCTTAAAAAAGCTCTCCACTGCCAGATCCTTGCCCAACCTATGATCATTAGCCATGGTCATCCTCATTTTCAAAAAGGGAGTTCCCAGCCTAATTGAAAATTACAGGCCAATCTTTTTATGTTGCGCCACCTGCAAAGTCATGGAATCAATCATTAACTAATCCATTACCCTCCACTTAGAGGCAAACAACATACTCTCAAACAAACGATTTGGCTTCAGAAAAAAATTATCCTGTAACGCGCAACTCCTACACTGAAAAAACATATGGACTACAGAGCTCGATCAGGGCAAGGCAATAGATGCAATTCACATTTACTTATGTAAAGCCTTTGATTCAGTGGTACATGACAAACTACTTCTAAAACTAAAATCTTATGACCCTTGCATAATTGGATAGCTGCATTCCTGTCAAACAGGCAACAAATGTTCAAAATAGGGAGCGCCCTATCAAATCCTGTAAATATTAACAGTGGTGTTCCCCAAGGCAGCGTTCTAGGACCAACTCTCTTTATACTTTACATAAATGACTTTTGTGATCATATTAAAAGCAACTGCATTCTCTTAGCTGATGATGTAAAACTATTCAACATCACCGACAATGCTACTACCCTTAAAAAAGACCTTGACTATGTGTCAGAATGATCAAACAAGTGGCAACTTCAAATCTCAACCAACAAATGCTCTGTCTTACATATTGGCAAAAAAAATAATCAGAAAATAAAATGCAAGCTGGACGGACATGCTTGTAGACGACGCTCATTCTGTCAAGGACTTTGGAGTACTTACTCATCTCTAATGATCTAAGTGCCAGGGCCCACTGTAACAACATTGCCAAAAAGACATTAAGAGTTGTTAACCTAATCCTGTGTAGCTTTTTCTCCAGTAGTATTGTACTACTAACTAGAGCATACAAAACATTCGCTAGACCAATTCTCGAATACAGCTCATCTGTCTGGAACCGCACTGCATATCGGCCATTAATACAATTGAGAGAGTCCAGAGATATTTTATGAGAAGAGTCCTCCACTCCTCTACTTGCAGCAGAATACCTTATGCCAATAGACTTGAAATTAAAGCTTAGACAACTTAGAACTACGCCACCTTTGGTCTGACCTAAGCGTAGTACATAAAATTATATATTGTAATGTCCTACCTGTCAATGACTCCTTCAGCTTCAACCACAACAATACACGAGCACACAATAGATACAAACTTAAAGTAAACCACACCAAACTTGATTGCAGGAAATACAACTTCAGCAACAGAGTGGTCAGTGCCTGGAATACACTATCTGACTCAGAGGTGGTATTCAGCAGGTTCTGACCAGTTCTGGAAACTAGTAGTGCAAATTTTGAGTAGTTCGGAGAACCGGCAAATACCACCTCTGACTGGAGATTTTACAGTATCCTTCCCCTGCCACGCCCACTAAGCCATGCCCACAGAACTGGTAGTAAACAAATTTGAATCGCACCACTGATCTGACTCTGTGGTTCTTCCCTAAACCCTCAAAACTTTAACCTTAGACTGTCTACTGTTGACCTCACCCCATTCCTAAGAGGTCTGTAAGAGGCATGCATAAGCACACCAGCGTGCCTTCCATCCCTGTTGAAATGTTCCCTTTTATTCATTTTCATTTCATGTATTAATAATTATGTTTATATGTATATTTGTTATCTAAACACATGCTTGACAAAATAAATAAATAAACAAAAAAGATAATTTGTGTATCTCAGTTTTAACATAAATCTGTGATCAATAGTACCTGAAGGAAAGAGAGGTTTCCAAGATATTATTAAGGAAATATGGATGGTTATATTAAAGAATATATGGATTTCTGAAATTTACAATATAAGGCTATTAAACAAAAATACATTACTATTGTCCAAAGATTAGGAGTAGTAGTCACTGACCAAAGGTAATGACAGGTGGTTGCTGAAACAGCTTTGTATTTCTAGGGAATTTTGGCTGAACATCCTTGGTACTTTCTAATTTCCCTTCTCTTTCTCTCATTCTAATTTTGTGAAGTGAGAAAGAATAAAAGGAAAAATTTTATTTTAGTGCAATCTATTCCAAATACTACTTTGTATTTTGAACTGTATCTCCACCATTGTGCCTAACAAATGTCTTAACTAACTACTGAGCTCCTGGTCAATGTTAAATGCCACTATCTTTGGCATTTAAAGTGGCACACTGAGGTCCTGTCCCTTTTGGGCCAAATTAAAATCCATGATGTCCAAAGACCATTTTTGCTGTGAGCTTCTGAGTAATTATTTTTTTAATTATCTTTATTGTCAGAGTACAAAATGTGTATAATGAGATTGGCTCATTGATTGGCTCATGAGATTGCTAATCAAGAAATTAATCCTCTTACATTTTCTTTGCTTTAAACAAGGGAAATAGTTTAAATGCAACTTTTGTTGTTGTTGTTATTATTAGTTGCAAAGTAGTGTCCGACCCATCGCAACCCCATGGACAACGTTCTTCCAGATCTTCCTGTCTTCTACTATCTTCTGGAGTCCATTTAAGCTCACGTCTACTGCATCAGTGACTCCATCCAGCCACTTCATTCTCTGTCATCCCCTTCTTCTATTGCCCTCAATCTTTCCCAGCATTAGGCTCTTCTCCAGTGAGTACTTCCTTCTCATTAGGTGGCCAAAGTATTTGAGTTTCAAAATGCAACTTTACCCCTTTCTTTCTCTTCATAATAGTTTTCTATCTATCTGTTCTGAGTCTTCTCCGTGTAAATTTCTCAGTGCTTCAGTCAATAAAGAAACAGAGTGTATACTACTAGAGAAAGAATTCTGTTACCTCTTTTTAAAAATTTACTTACCTTCTCTGTATAATATTCTTTTACTTCAGGTAAAATAGAGTCAAAATCCCCACTGATATAATCAGGCAGAAAACTGAAAGGAAAATAATAATATTCAATCAGTTCATTTTAATAAAAGCTTTACGTTTAGAAATATCAGATAGTAACAAAGACTCAGAATAGAATAGTGAGTGAGTGCAATACCATTGAAATAGCAGCGACATTTAGAATTAACATCAGATTAATAGCTACACATTTCTAATTTACTTTTCTAATGTATGTATTACGTAACAATTTGCATAGATGCTCAGTTAAGCTAGGAAGCTAGGAAGAGAAGTATAGTAACTGTAAGCAGGAAGCAGATCATCTTGACCCAAGCTCATTTCCAAATAAAATTTTCAGTGAAACTGTCTTGAATGGCTTGCTAGATAATTTGGAGTGCCTGAATGCCTGTCCTTTTGACCTCATAGCAGCTTTTAATAATAGCAAGCATGGTATTTTTCTTGATAGTTTAACCAATTTGGAAGTTAAAGGCACTGCTTTCCTCCTATCTCTCAGATAGATTTCTGATGAAGACAGAAGGAAAGAGCTATTCTTCAAAACTCAACTTACGTGTCTAGTCTAGTGACTCAATTTTATGAACAATGCTTTTTAATATCAATATGAAACTGCTAGGGATGATGGCCAGGAAATTTGGAGATGGATAAGGTAACAATTTTCAGTAAAGTGTGGCTTACCCAAAAAACTATCTGCAAGTAATTAATGGAAGATAATAATTTGAAAGTGAGTCACAGGAAGATATAGACACTAGTTGTAAGGGGAGCCAATATATAACAAAGATAGTATATTTTTCTCTTCTGAATACTGTCACATTTTCATAAAAGAAGCAACAGAAGAGATTTAAACAATAACCAACATAATCACTTTTCAGATTCAGCTACAGACCAAAGAACATTCCTTCTAGAAGAAAATTATTTGCAGTACTTTTAACATGTTTTACATGGAACTTTGGCTCCAGTTCAGAAATGTTAATTATTAAAGAACTCAGTAACAAGATTGGTCTCTGAAAGAAATCCAAGTTACTGTATTTTAACATTATTGGAAAAAAATGCAACTATTACCATTTTTTCCAAATACAAAGTGTTGATTATGATTCTGAAGCACTTGAGACTATGTTTCTCTTTATATGACAACCTCCAGGGACCAGTCATTGAAGAGGATGTTTACTACAACTGCTGAATATTATTAATCTGTGGCGACTTGGAAGATGCTCCATGCATTATATGCTGAGCCCCTTTAAAAGGTCCTAACATACCATTTTGAATAGACTTGTAATTATTTCCAATATTTTTGGCTTCAATTCATTTATTTTAATGCAAGTCACTGAGACAACTGGTACTGGGCATTAAACTAAGTTTAACAATAAATATGTATTGCCCTTCCTTGCAAATATTAATGCTATTAATTATAATATAACATTAGCTCCAGTGGCTTAGAGGTGGAGCCCTCGCCTCACAATCAGGAGGCTGTGAGTTTGATCCTAGGTAGAGGCTAATATTTCAAATAGACTCTCCTGCTCAAGCAGGGGGTTGGACTAGATGACCTCCAAGGTCCCTTCCAACTTTGTTATTCTATTATCTATGTCTATGTCATAATGTGTATTGCAGTACTGTTTAGAAATGCTGTGTTTGTTCAGCCTACCCTACTCAGAATCTGCATATCCTCCTTATAATTCACAGCATTTATGCTGGTTTAGCAAGAGAAGGCAAAAAATAACAATATTAAATTTTGTGAGACATTTTGTCCAAATATTGTGAAATGGCAAAACCTGCTCTTTACTTTCCACAATGAACTACCAAAAAATATAGGAAATTTCTAAAGTAATGGAGTCAAAGAATTGAAATCAGAAAGAGAAATTAGGATAGTCTACATGAGAAAAAATATTGAAATATTGAAGCCTAAAACTTATTTCCTTAATACCAGAATATAAATTGCCCTTCTTGTTTTTCATATCTTCACTGAATTCCAGAGCAAGATGGAATTTGATGTATATCACTACATTTCATAGGTTCCAAAGCAAACTTACTTTCACTTAAGAGTTAACACAATGTACACATACTAGGATTTGCCATCCTAAAAGAGATTACAATAGTGACATTAGGTATTGAATTAGGATTAAAATGCAGGTAGTCCTTGTTTAACAACCACTCATTCAGTGACTTTTCAAACTTATGATGGTGCTGAATGATTGATTGCTCTTCATATTTATGGCCATCACAGCGTCCTGCAGTCATGATTTGCAAACTTCCCTATTATCATCCAAAAAAACAAAGTCAAAAGGCCTGTTGCAGGAAGACACAATTATATGAGGCCTTCATTTAATGACCCATGTTATCCTCACTTAATAATGTTAAACAGGATTGCCAGAAAGGTCATTGCTAAGTAGAGTGGTCAGACTTTTTTTCATTCATGACTAGCTGCTTAATGATGAATTTTCCAGTGCCAATTAGAATAATTAAATGAGGATTACCTATATGCCAATAACAATGAAATATAGAATTTGATTTTTTAAAAACCAAAACCATTTAAACCCTTTAAAAACCATTTTAAGTATCAATACTTGTGTGTCATTATTTTATTTAACTACATACTACAAATCTAGCCTGTCATCTGCCTGATGCACTGAAATAGTAACAGACAAAGTAACACACAAAATGCTGTTGAGATCGCATCTATAGCTTAAAAAAGCCCTATAAGTAGAAGATTAGCCAATGTTTCTCTTCTCTTTTCAATAGCCATATGCAATAACTGGTTAGCAAGAACTAAAAGAACTGTTTGTGAGGTAACAATTCTCAAGATGTATTTGTTTTTTAGACTGTCAAACGAAAACCAGTCGTGTGCTGTTTACTTAACTACAGTGGTACCTTGATACTCAACTACCTTGAAACTCATCAGATTTGGTACTCAAATGTATTTTGCTATGAAAATTTTATCCCAGTACTCATTGTTTGTTTGATATTCAATGCACAAGCTGGAACTTGTCATTGCTGGCTTCCTTCTGACTCACTTCATTATTCCTTAGGTTTGGTACTTCGTTACTCATTATTTTTGGTATCTCATCACACTTCCCAGAACCAATACTCCCAGATGAGTACTCAGGTATCACAGTATACTATATTTTATAAATTAGTCATTCAAATAGAATATAAGCTCCATGATTTTATAGGGTTTCCTTTCTCTTAATGGAGATGAAGTATTTTATTTTCTAAATTATGATTTTTTCTTTAAGTACTATTTATCATCTTAGTGCTTAATTGAATTATCATTGGACTACTGCTTCAAAGCAATGCTAGTTGGAGGCCAGGATTCAAAGAGGAATGTTCTCAAAGATATTCTCATTGAGAAACAATTTTTCAAACCTCCTGAAAAGTTATTGCAAAATGCAATACAACCTTCAGCTGTGGTTGTTTTGAGAAACAGAAGAAGAAGCTACTTTACTTAAGAGGCCAAAATTCTGCATTTCATGTCTAAAAAATGGTGCTCAGATCTTTCTATCAGAGAATGAGAGAGGAGCCTCCATTGCCTCTTTGGTGGACATTACTGATCTTTTCTTATTTTGGTTTTAGTTCTTTCTCATTGCTAGTAATGTATCCCTAAAAGTTAATGGTGCATCATGTCTGAGATTCATAATGCTAGCAAATAAACAAAAAAGACCCGTGGGCATTTTATTCTATTTCAACCTACAACAACTTCTCTCTTAAATATATGTCATCTTGCAGTAAACAACATAAGAACTGTTGTGTTGAGATATTTAATTTACTTTAATCATCTTGCTTGGCATTTTACATCAACTTATACATTTTATGAATACTGGCATGGCTTGTGTAATTATTCTCCCCACAATTAGCATTTACAATGATGCATTGCACATTTCATAGATTGTATTGTGAAGATGCTTTTAGAAACAGGCTGAAGCATGCAGAAAGTAAAGTAAGCAAATTCTTTTTTAAGTTGAGTTACTCCTGGAAACTTTGTGGACATGTTATGCAATTTATTTGGCAACAATAGGGGAATGGTTTGTTATTTTCTTTTTTTCCAAGGTTAGCTTTTAACCTTGATATTCCCAAGAAGCTTTCTATCTAAGTACTCACCAGGCTTGATCTTAATCAACTTCCTAGTTCATCCTAACAAGTCAACATGCACAAGAATATCATGTATAAGTAAGAATCATGCATAGAATTTCTATTTATAGATCAAATCAATGTGTTTTCAGCTACCTTGGCATGTTATAAGCAACAAAAAGTCAATATATATTGGGAAAGTCCTCGCAAAAATGCAATCAATAACTATGGGCTCATAATGCTAAGCCAATATTGATTTCAATCAATCCAGAATCAGACTTGCAGAATTATCCTGCTCCTTCAGTCAAATTTTAATTTATTTTCTCTTTTATTTTTAGCTGAAAACATAAGAAACATCTTACAGAAGAAAAATAATTGACTAACTATAGAATATATTTTAAATTTATTGTGAATGTATACTTTGTGAAATGCACATAGTATTATGAATTAACCAGTGTTTGGCTCTTTTTAAATTTGATTTGAATTTATGGTAATAGGATGTTTGGTTTTTAACTGATACACACACACACACACACACACACACACACACACACACATATTGATGTATCAAATTTTATTTTTTTATGTAGTTATTTTTTGATTAGTCCACTAATGGGAGAAGATGGTAGGGAAACAATGAGCAGCAGGGAGAAAACAGAGCTGCTTAATTCATTCTTTGCATCTGTCTTCACGCAAAAGGGAAAAAAACAGCACAACCTATCAAAAACTGAACCATAAAAGACAGACTAGAAATACAAATTAAAATAGGTGAGAAATGATAAGAGAACACCTATCCACCCAAGATGTGTTCAAATCACCAGGACCAGATGGATTACATCCCAGAGTTCTGAAGGAGCTGGCAGACATGATCTTGGAAACATTGAAACATATCTTTCTTTCTTTTTTAATATTTTTTTTTATTTTTGAAACAAACAAACACAAACAAAACATAAAAATCATAAAACCATCTTCC